AGGGAGAGTCATCCGTAGCCTGTGTTATGCAGATGACACAGCCTTCCTTCCTGAAAGTAAGGAGGACTTGAAGCACTTGTTGCAGAAGAGTGAGGAATGCAGCCTTCAGTATGGATTGCATCTCAATGTCAAGAAGACACAGATTCTGACCACTGGACTGACTAGGCAACATCATGATGGATGGAGAAGAGATTGAAATTGTCAAGAGCTTCATCTTACTTGTATCCATGCATCCTCGGTACCAGCCATCTGGAAATAAAGAGATGCACTGCACTGGTAATGTCTGCTCCTGGAACTTCTCCAAATTATTATTGAGGAGTAACGATGTCAGTTTGAAGACTAAGATATGTCTGATTCAGGCTATAGTCTTTCTGATCACTTGCTTTGCATCTGAGACCTGGACAATGAATAAGGATGACAGAAGAATTGACGCCTTTGAGCTGTGGTGTTGGAGAAGAGCACTGGACATTCCAAGGATGGCCAAGAGAACGAACAGATATTCCTTGGAGAGGGTGCAGCCGGAGTGCTCTTTGGAGGCAAGGTTGATGAGGCTTCACCTAACATACTTAGGGCATGTTGCTAGGAGGGGCTATTTCTTGGAGAGGGACATGATGCTGGGAAGGCATGGTGGTGACTACCACAATAGGCTCTTGCGTGTCAGGAAGTATGAGGATGGTGCAGGATATAGCAGAGTTCAGATCTTTTGTTTATGGGATTACTAGGAGTCATTCTCAACTAGACAGCAGCAATTACACGTGACACACTGGGAACTCACTAACAAATCCATGTGTAAAAACAATGAATAACATGCTGAGCTACCCACTTTCCAAAATTCTAAACTCCCTTCTCAGGAGATGGCCCTGGTGGGGTTGTGATGAGGCACAGGGCTGCTGACTGGAAGCTCAGTGGTTGGTGAGATGTACTCTCCCAGGTGCAAACATTCATAAATGGGTAACAAACAATCGTGAACAGCTAACAGGTGGGTGAGGAAGGGCTAGATGGTATAAAACAGAACCTGCGTGAAATTCAAACAGAAAATAATACAGGGCCTTAGGAACCCTAGAGCCACCCTGAGTGGTCAGGGACAGGGGCCCAGGAGGGCTGGGCTCCCGAGGGTCTCTGAGTGGACAGGAATCCAGCAGTGGGGTCCTAAATGTCCCTCAAGTGGACAGGGGTCTAGGAGGGGTGGACCGTTGAGGGTCTCCAAGTGGACAGGGGCCCAACAGTGGACCCCTGAGGGTCTCTGAGTGGACAAGGACCTAGGACGGGTGGACCCCTGAGGGTCTCCAGGTGGACATGGGCCCAGCAGTGGACTCCCAAGAGTTCTTCACGTGGACAGAAACCCATGAGGAGTGGGTTCCTGAGAGTGCCTCAAGTGGACAAAGACCTGGGGGGCGGGGGGTTTCTCCTGGGGGCTGGGCAGAGAGAAGGAGGCAGTGAGTGAGAGCCCATACCCTGGGCCTGGCCCTGCCTGGCAAGTTTTAGCTGGGGGCATTTTTTAATGATCATATTAAAACCTTTGAAAACAGAAGTTTATCATGGAACTGCTGGCAGGTCCTTACCCAGAGAGAGGCCAGCAGACAACCCAATAACATTTAGAAAGGTCTCCCTCAGCACAATTAAATCTTGACGAGGAAATAAATCTGATTTCTCCCGGGTGCCACCGGCCAGCAAACAGTAATTTAATGTTTGTGTGGCCACCCTGCAGCCCTAGAAGTCTATTTCTCCTTCTCTCTTTTAAGCTGTAATCCAGCCCGCTGGGTATGTCCATTCGTGAGCGTTCTGCTTCTGCTGCAGCGTGGTGCCATCCACACTACAAGCAAGGACACGAGGAAATGGGACACAGTCACTTCCAGCAATTTATTCACATTTTTGCTCTGCTTATTTGAATATGCACCACATGTAAATTAGAGGAGGGCTACTGTAAAAACATTTCCAACGACTGAAATCTGAAATCTTAACATTCCTTTCTAACAGTCCGGAGCAAACCACACATTCACTGATCGTGAAGAATAAAATTATTTCTGCTACGTTGTCAAGAAGGAAAAAAAATGTTATCATTCATATGAACAGTTCCCATCTACAGAGATTTGTTTCTTATTGTTTTTAACACGATGCAAGTAATGAAGGTTTTCTTTAACTAGTCTACTACCATCAGAAGGAAGGAGCCTGGACATCGCCACACACCAGATGGTTGGCTTATAGGACAAGGAGGGCAGGCCATTCCAGGCCACCACCAGGAGGTGCCAGATCCAATAATCAGAAAAAAAGAGGAATATTCCCACTGCAGGACTCGATTGGCAGTTACAGAGAAAGCATCATTGGATGCCTTTGTTCCACACCCAAGACAAGAAGAATTCAGATCGATTTCATGCTAGAAACCCCTTGCAGAACACCAGCATGTCATCGTTGTGACCCTGAACTATGTGAAGGGTGCCGTCGGCATGAGGCCTGGTCCATGGACTCCAGCCCCTGCCTGGTGCCCGCATGCCGTCGGCATGAGTCCTGGTCCATGGACTCCAGCCCCTGCCTGGTGCCCGCATGCCCACTAACCTCAGGGACATAAAGACTCAGCTGTTCTGCTTGAGCACCCTCGGGGTTTACCCAGAGCCGATGGTTCAGATGCCACAGTTGTGCGCTGGCTGGCTGGACCCTGCTGCCTGAAGACTGCCTCTCTGCCTGGACCAAAACCTCACCTTAGCTGCACTCCGCCATACAGCTCCTGTGGACACAGCTGGGACGGGTCTGGGCCACACACAACACACCATGTACACTCGCTGTCTTAACGATGCATTGACTGCCATGGCTAACAGTCTGTCGACCAGTGATTCAAAGAAGGAGAGGGAAGATGGGTATGCCGCAGCTGTCCGGCTTGGTGCCTGGTTGACCAAACCCCTCTCAGTCTTCTTGTCTGTGCAGCACGGGGACGAACGAACAGGCCCATAGGACTTCCAGAGCTGTGATGTTGAAGGAAGCTGACTGCAAGTGACTGCTGAGTTCCAACTGCTGACCTGCCACCAGAGGATCTCGTCTTCTCACATTCAGAGTCAAGGCCAAGTTCAACCAAGCTTTGCCTCCTTAGTCTCAGAACACTGCTTTGCTCCGTCGTTTCTGGAGAGCAGCCCTTTCTTAGTGGGGGGCTGCTGTGTGCGGCCAGAACACTGCTTTGCTCCGTCGTTTCTGGAGAGCAGCCCTTTCTTAGTGGGGGGCTGCTGTGTGCCGCTGGGGACAGGACATGCTCCTAAGACTGGGCTGTCAGCTCCTGCTCGCCGGAAGCCAGGATGGTCACACTCGGCCTCACATGCTCTGAGTGTGTTACCAGGAGGGCCAATCCCTGGGGAAGCACATCATGGTTGACAAAGCAGAAGGTCAACAACAAAGGGAGAGAATCTCATGGTGAGGGCCCAACACAGTGACCTGGTGAGACAGTGAGGGCAGCGCAGGAGCCATTAGGGCCTGTGCCTGGATCACCGTGACCTGGGACACAGCTGCCCACACCTGGCATTCCCACCACAGGGAAAGGAAATGGGACGCTGATGGTGGGCGTCTTCTAATCTCCAAATCCTGTTCTTCTTAGGAGACTGTAGGCAGGAAGGACTACATGAATCTGGAGTGCAAGACCACGGTTAGCCAGGCTGACCGATCCATGGTGACACCTTCTGAAGTTGGCCATAGTGACCCACCCATTTTTCTGCCATGTCCAAGACTAAGAGTATAATTTCAAGGTGTCTATCAATGTGTCTTCCAGAATCCTATGTCTAAGAAACCCATTTCAGGATTATTCCAGAACATTCTGGAACAATTTTCCCACTAGGTGCTTCCTCCTCAGTTACTCAGCCAACACCTGGCTCTCACTGTCCTGTGTAAATCTTGACATAAAACGGCAGCACGTGAAAACCTAGTGAGATTAAGAAATGAGTGACATCTCTCTGCAACGCCACCTGGAGAGGACCCAGGACTGCTCTTACCCACCAGGACAGGTGGGCCCTCGGGAGGCACCAGTGGGATGTGGGGAGCTCGTCGGGGTCTACCTGGCACCAGTAGTGGATAGAGAAGCAGCATTTCTGGGGCCTCCTCCCACTGAGATAGGTTCTGGTGAGGAGGCACCCTGACTTTCTGAGTCAGGATGTTGTTTCCAACAAGCCCAGTTCTCTCCAAGGGAGGCCCTGTCCTCTAACAGCAGGGTAGTGACAAGAATCCAAAGCAAATCAAACCATGCCACCAAGTCAAACCGGACTCTGAGCAACCCCGGAGGATAGGGCAGGATGTCCCACTGGCTCCCAAGGCTGCCACCTGGATGCGGCACATGGGCTCCTCTTTCTCCCATGAGGCCAATGGTGGCTTTGAACTGCTAACCTCTCAGCTGACATGCTTCACCATTGCTCCACCAGGTCAGTTGTGTAGAAAGAGACAGTCCTTGTGCCTACATGGTTGCCTGATATTTTCCTTAAAACTCAAACAAAGGGACAAGCAAGCTACCCCCCAGCAGTCAGTGCTTCTTCAGGGAAACATTTATAGACAGTCACACTCCATGGCGTTCCTTCACCACCGCTTCCGGCAGAACTCCACCCACCCAGAGGGCTCACATGTGCTATTTTACAAACTGTGGATCCCAGCCTGACGGACAACATTCAATTGCTTCTAACTTTTAAAAAATCAGTAACAATAATAATAACAATAACAATGGTGCATTAGACTTAACCCTTTGAGCACCCTCTTAGCAGCAAGCGTCCTCATCAAAAACCCATCGGTCACCTCACTGGAGAGGCCAGATCGCACACAACATGCATGGCCATTCCCGCATCCAGGGCGAGGTCAGCCAGATGGAACCACTGGACACGAATCTGGAAAACCTCAGAGTCTCAAAGGGTTAAGCTAGGGCTTCAGGGTCTGTTAGAAGGGCGAGTTGGGTGAGCGGACGGTCTCAGAGGAGCTTGGGGAGTAGTCCTCCGACTCTGAGTTGAGTTCTGGGGGTGCCGGCTGAGCCTTGTACCGGGACTTCACATCCTGGTGGCGTCTTCGTCGGAAAACCTGCCTCTCCTTATCAAGAGCGGTGGTCTGGCAGGGGCATAAAATGAGAAAGAGAACAATTAGGCCAGGGAGACACACACAAAACGAACCATGTCTCAAGGTTAAGGTTGGCCAAAGGGACCCAACTGACCAACCCTCTAGCAAGTTTCCAACAGTCACCAATGCTGGGGGTGTGAAGGGGTTCTCTGCTTTGCATCTCAACACCAGGGAAACAAAATCCTCACCACTGGACCAATAAACATAATGACTACAGATGGAAAAAGAATGAAGTTGTCAAAGACTTCATTTTACTTGGATACACAATCAACACCCTTGGTAGCAGCCATCATGGATCAAAAGACATGTTTACTGGGGAAATCTGCTGTCAAGGACCTCTAAAAGCTAGGATTATCACTTCAAAGACTAAGGTGCACCTGCCCAAGCCATGGTATTTTCGGTTACTTCATATAAATGTGAGAGTTGGGCAATGATTAAGTAAGACCAAAGAAGACTTGATGTCTTTGAGCTGTGGTGTCAAAGTGAATTGAATATGCTGTGGACTGCCAAAAGAACAAACAAGTCTGTCTTAGAGGAAGTGAGGCCACAGTGGTCCTTGTAAGAGAGGGTGGTGAAATTTCATCTCACATCTTCTGCAAATGTCATGAGGAAGAACTACTTCCTAGAGCATAGCATCATGTTTGGGAAAGCAGAATGTCAACAAAAGCGAAGAAGACCCTCAATGAGACGGATTGACATGGTAACTGGGTTTAAGCACTGCAGAGATTATACAAACGGTACAGGGTCAGGTGGGGTCTTGCTCTGCTGTACACCAGTCGCTGTGTGTCAGATGACACCTGGCCACAGCCTGAAGTCGACTCTCCAGGACACATCATGGTACCAGTAACCACAGGCAGATGACTGGAGGAGGTAAATCAAACCCACCCTCAGGCACCAGATTGTTATTAGCTTGCTTCTCCCACCCTGGGTCCATCCATGTCACCAGTGTCATGTGTCTGATGGTGGACATATGTTGGACCTCTAAGGTCATCAGAGATGCATGTCTGATGGAGAGTGGATAGATGCAGGACATCCCAGGTCATCAGAGATGCGTGTCTGATGGAGAAGGGTGGACAGATGGCCTGAGATCCCAGGTCATTGAAGATGCTTGTCCGATGGTGGAGGGTGGACAGATGCTGGACATCTAAGGTCATCAGAGATGCATCTGATGGAAGAGGGTGGACAGATGCTGGACATCTCAGGTCATCAGAGATGCATCTGATGGAAGAGGGTGGACAGATGCTGGACATCCCAGGTCATCAGAGACCTGGGATTTGTCTTCACCAGCATATGCATTGAATGAACCTGCACTGATGGAAACCTTCCCATGCAGCTTCCAGGCCACATACCCTTGCAGATGCCAGAGAGTCGTGTGTGAGGCCGCACACGAACTGAGACCTGAGGACATGGTGTGGCACTTGCTGAGTGCTAACTGCAAGAGTAATGATTTGAATCTGCCAGCTCTTTGGACAAAAGCAGCAGTAGTGTTTCCCTGTAAAGACAGTGCTGGACGCCTGATGAGGACCACCATGGGGATGGGTGACCTTCGGTGGCACAGTGACTTAACTGGGCTGTTAATGAAAACATGGCTCATAAGGACCTCCAGCCATTCTTCTCCTCTGGGGACAAGACCCTGGGCACTCCCTGACCCATTATAACCGTGGGACCCTACTGTGTTACCGTTGTGTCCTATAGAGTTGGAATTGATCCATTGCTGACCCTCCAGTGATTTTTCAGAGACAGCCAATCACACAGGAGGACAGCGATCACCTTTCTTTATCAGAGAAACGATGGCTTTGAGTTCGCATACAACTCCTTCCCACTAAGCTGTCAGAGCTTTCTGCAAACCCTGTTGGGCAGTTCTAACAAGTCCCATAACAGCACCGAGTCAGAATCATCTCCGTGTCAGTGGTGAGCGTTGAGAGGTGGGCTCCTAACCAAGATGCTGCAGTGTGAGCCCACCAGGCATCTGAGGGAGAAGAATGAAGCAGTGCATTCCCATCAGAATGACAGCCTCGAGAAATCTGGGGCAGCTCTGTCCTCTGGCCCAGCCCTGGCCCTGTCTCCCTGTTCCTAAGCCGACCTCAGGTCCTGTCCAGAAGAGGTATCAGCCCTGCTAGTCATGCTGACACCAGAATCAGGGACAGTGTAACTTCACCCCAGAGAAAGCTTACATAGAGAGCAGGCCAAATGCAGCAGACACAGAACACAGGACAGACGGGCGACACGCACACACCGAGGCAAAAGGCGTCTGCTCGTGAAATCTCCTTTCACAAGATCTCTGGACCACACAGCTTGGCTCATTTCCAAAAAGGTGATTCCCCCACCTTCAAACGGATCCATGCCACCATTCTTGGCACCAATTTGGAAACTAGCTGTGAACGTCTCCAAAAAAAACAGAGATACAATATTAACCAGCCTGGAGGAGTTCCGAGAAGGCAGTACCATCACTGTCCCCACGTAACTCACTGCAGAGTAGCATGAGGGGATTGGAGATGGATGGAGGGTGACCAGAGCCCTCTGCCTGCTGCTGATACAGCCCCCTGAGAGCAGACACCTGAGTGCTCAGGTGATGGTCCACCTGTCTCCGCCCAGTGTTCAGGTGATGACCCACCTGTCCCCACCATGTGCTCAGGTAATGGTCCACCTGTCCCCGCCCAGTGCTCAGGTGATGATCCACCTGTTCCCGCTCAGTGCTCAGGTGATGGTTCACCTGTCCCACCCTGTGCTCAGGTGATGACCCACCTATCCCCGCCCAGTGCTCAGGTGACGGTCTGTCTGTCCTCAGCCATACAGACAACGTCCCATTGGTCTTCCTCCATACCTCCCCTTTCCAGGCTCTCAGCAGTGGATTTTTTTTAAGGTCCCTCCCAGGTAGTTCTGTTTTCCCACCTTCCTGGTTCATTGTATTTTTTATCTTCATAAAAGTCCAATTTCTAACTTTCCTTAAAAGTGCCACAAAGTCCCCACACCGCATTTCTCCCCCAAAGTTTGCTCAGTTTGTGGAAAACAGACACTGTACTCGAGTCACGTCAAACCCCTCCATCCTGTAGCCTAAGTTGTGGAGCTGCCCTCCTGGGGACGAGGGAGGAGGTAGAATAAACTTTCTCCAGAAGCTTCAGCCAGGACTGTGCACAGGCTGCTATGGGCTGAGCCACCAGGTGCAGAACAAACTTGGTCCCCTGAGCATTTTTTTTATCTTTTTTATTTTATTTTATTATTTTGTGTGTGTGTGTACCGTCAAATCAGATCTGACTGGTACAGGAGGAGATTGTCCCTCCTTCCCCGGCAGAGCATCTGGTGGATTTGAACCATGTACCTCTGGGATTGTAGTTGCAACTCCTTGCCACTAGGCCACCAGAGCTCCCCACCTCTGAGCATTCCTGACCCCACTGTCCTGATGGTGAAGAGTTGCCTGCTAGCCTCAAAGTGCACGGTTCAAATCCAACAGCTGCTCCACGAGAAAGACAGACAATCTCCTCTGCGTGCCTGCTGCCTCTAAAAACCTGCAGGAGGGTCAGCTACGGTCAGTTCTGACGCCCTGGTACACAACAACAGCCCAAACAACCCACACTGTTCTCTCCTTCAGGAACTCAGACAGCTCCTGCCACGACCATCATAAGGTGACAAGGCAGGGACGGCTGCATCCTGTAACGCCAAGTGATGTGCTGGTCACAGGTTCCAGTGACTGCACGTGCTCGGAGCAAAGAGCCAGCCTCACCTCTCAAGGTTCCTCTGGGGGGCTTTGAACTGCTGGCCTCTGGGTTAGTGGCCTAGCACCTAACTACTGGTGCCACCACATAAAGTGACTACAGGATCGGAGAAGCTCTAGTGGTACAAGGGCAACCCCACCAAAAAGCTTCAAGGGCACAGCCTGATGTTCTGCTTCTGCGGACATTCAGAACATCAACTGCACCCAGCAGCGACGCCAAGGTCAGGGGGTGATTGCCTACCCGGGCACTTGCTGAGGCCCAGGGCTGAAGGCCTCACAGAAGGCAGGCCGTCCCTGAGTGCAGGGGTCCTCCTTCAGGGGGTTCTACTGCTTCAGAGACTCTTCAGAGTCCATTCAATGCTGGTGTCAAGGTCAAGCATGTAGATGGGAATCAAGAAGTTGGGGGTTTAAAGCCACCAGCCCATTTGAGGCAACACAGAGAAGGGGCCGAGTGCACAGATACTGTCCACTGCTGTCCATCTGACCCAGCAGCTCTGTAGGACAGAGGGCTGTTTCACAGGGTTTCCAAGATCTAAGTCTTGATGGAAACTCACTGCCACACTTCTCCCTCAGGACAGCTTGTGGGTTTGAACTGCAGACCTGTGGTCGGCACCCAGCAGTGCAACGGCCTCTTCCCACACAGATGGCAGCCTCCTCCACACCCACCTGGTCACTGAGAAGTGGACCAACCCAATGGCAATGGGGCAGACCTACACTCCTGTCAAAGCCAGTCGATTTGCATTTTCCTCCTTGTCACTGGAGAAGTTCTGAAGCATTTCCCTCCAGTGGACGAGAATCTCTGGACCTCTGGGTCTCCTGGAACGTCGTCATTAACCTGAAAGTCCCTCTCCACCTGTCCCCACTCCACTGAATGACACCTGAGATGGCATCAGATCTCACCTCCCCTAGCACATCCTGGCTACTGCTCCTAAATTGTGGGTCTGTATTGTCGTGATCAAACTCTGAGCCCCGACATGCAAAGATAAGCAGCTCCCCAAACCTTAGAATGACCTCAACTTCCCCCCACCATTATGAGAAACTCAGGGTGCAGCAAAGGAGGTTACACGTGCTCCTGGTTCCCAACATAGAGAGCAAGGTGACACTGCTTCCATCTACACAGCATGCACTGTGACAAAGCCTGACTGTGGAGGGTGACCCAGATGGACAGAGGTGGGAAGCGAGTGTGTGCTGGACGGAATGACTCACAGGACATTCAGTCTATGAGAAGGGCAACTGTCAGCAAAGTGGAGTGACAGGGGGCTTGCCTGTCCACAGCAGA